GCGAGGTAGGGGCAGCTGGGGGTCATCAGGGGAGAACTGGAGGGCACTGTGGGGGCCGTGGGAGCAGTAGAGGAGCTAGGGGGCATTGAGGAGCATTGGGGGCAGCTGGGGCACCAGGGGCCAGGACGTTGGGATGGGAGTGTGCAGGGGTCTCCCAGACGTTGGGCTTCCCCCAGGCCCCACCCTGACCCCCATGTCCCCCCAGGAGGTGATCTTGCGCCTGCTCTGCCCGGCCCCCCAGAGCCTCTAGCCGCCAAACTGCTCCAGACCTGCTGGGTCTCTCGATTCCTGCCCCCGGGCACCTAGGCTGCCAAGCACTTGGCACCCACATGCAGTTTTGGGGCCCCCTCGACTTCAGGGGGCTGCTAATAAAAGCCTCTCTTGGCTCCCTCTTTCCTTGCAGAGCTCCCATCATGGAGAACCCCTGCAAGGGACCTCCACCAGTCCATGGTGGCATCACCCTCCAGCCCACAAAGCAGCCTCCCTATCTGAGGACATCTCTCCATTCAAAGCCTCTCTGTGACCGTGGGAGCTGCCAGGCCCCAGGAATCTGGAGGTTCCCACCATGAGCAGAGCCACCCCCAGCCTCCCAGGACTGTTTCTCCAGTCCCTCTGTCATCTTTGTGGCCCTTTGCAGCACTCGCTCCAGTATGTCCATGTCTCTCTTGTACTGGGCGGCCCAGAACTGGACACGGTGCACTGGGTGGCCTCACCAGGGCTGAGGAGAGGGGAAGGATCACCTCCCTCCACCCACTGGCAGCACTCTCCCTAATGCAGCCCAGGAGGCTCTTGGCCTTTGTTGCCCCAAGGGTGCACTGCTGCCTCATGTCCAACTTGGTGTCCACCAGGAAACCTCCAGCAACTTCTCTGCCAAGTTGCTTTCCAGCTGGTCGGTCAGCCTCTGGCATGTACTGTATCAGGTTGCTTCAGCATTATCTCCCCGTCATAAAGCCATGATAATCTACTACTCCTGATGGCCGCCTTGTCCTCCATGTGTCTGGAAATGGTTTCCAGGATTACTTGCTCCATCACCTTCCCAGGGATCGAGTTGAGGCTGGCTGGCCTGTAGTTCCCTGCATCCTCCTGCTCGCCCTCCTTGAAGATAGCAGCGACACTTGCTTTCTGCCAGTCCCTAGGAACCTCTCCCCATCACCATGGCCGTAATTACACAGGTGATGGAGAATGGTCTCAGAAGGACATCAGCCTGCTCCCTCAGCACTCCGGGGGTATCCCATCTGCTCCCAGGGACTTGTGCCTGTCCCGTTTGTTTAAATGTTCCTCAAACCGGTTCTCCCTTCCCAGGGGGAACTCTTCCTCACCCCAGCCACTCCCTCTGGCCTCAGGGGCCGCGATTCCTGAAGGCAGCAAAGGCCAGAAAGTTTTGAGGACATGGCTGGCTGGTTGTCACACCTCCAGCATGTTCTGGTGCCTGGGGTTTACCCTCCCTATGTGCAGGACTTTTTGCACATCCCTTTGTTGAACTTCATGAGGCTCATTTCTCCGGCCTGGCCAGTCACCTCTGAACAGCAGCACAACCCTCTGGTGTATCAGCCACTCCTCCCAGTTTTTGATCATCTGCAAACTCGCTGAGGGTGGCACTCTGATCCATCATCCAGGTCATTAATGAAGAGGAGAAAGAGTAGTGGCCCCTGGAGCAGGTTGTCCAGAGAAGCTGTGGATGCCCCATCACTGGAAGTGTTCAAAGTCAGTTTGGACAAGGCTTAAAGCAACCGATCAAGTGAAGGATGTCCCTGCCCATGGCAGAGAGGTTGGACTAGATGATCTTCAAGGTCCTTGCCAACCCAAACCACTCTGTGATTCTATGATTCTGCATGGACTCTCAAATTCCTGGAAATGAAGTCACCAGATCTGCAGCATCTGGAGGAGGTTCACGGAAAACTGAGGTGAGCAGAAAGGGGTTTGAATGACATCCCTGCACCTCGTGACTGTCTGTCACTGAGCACTGTCACTGGCATGCAAGATGGTCAGCATGAAGAAAACTGTGGCGAGACACCTTTGGGACACCTTCAGACACACTGGTGAAGAATCACCCAGGCAGGCAGGTGAATAGAAATGCTTCCCAGATGATTTACTTCTTAACTGACAACTCTGTAATCTAAAAAGCACTGCTCATTTCAACACAGGGCTTTCAGAAACTGGCTTAGCTACAGCCAAGGATGGATCAGGAGAGTGGTGGAAGCACTCTAGCTTTGCTGGAGAGGCTTGGCTCAGCCCCTGCAAGCAGACTGGAGCACTAGGACACACTGAAACTCTGTCCAGCTCCACTGGCTTCAGTCAGCTCTGTGTCTACTGTCGACTAGGCAAACTAGCAGGTAGCAAGTAGGGAGCTGTGCTGACTTGGGAACATCAGCAAGCAACACTTCTGAGTCATCAGGAGCATTGTGCGATGGACCTTTCCGAAGTTGGCTCTACCCTTAGTAACCTGGATTTTCCTGCCTTCAGGAAGTCAGCACAGAAGGATGGCTCCACATCTGAACTCTGCATAATTTCCTCTACATGGTCCAACTTGGGGACAGCTGGGTAAGCAGCATGAAGAAGCCCATGGTGCTGTGCTGCAAAGGCAGCAGCTGGAGGAGTGCTCAACCCACCGGAAAGCCCTGCACTGCCCATCAAGCACAAACAAGTGCCACCAACTTGAGCTATAGAATTTGTGTGATTAGTGGCTAGGGAAACCTTGTAGCATCAGGTTTCCCTCTTTGTCCTGTCAGAGAGGAGCAGCTTGAGGAACAGAAAGCTGTAGGTAGCTGTCCTCCTAGCAGGCCTCTGCATTTCCAGAGGTACTGCTGCCTTCCTCAGCAGGGTGTAGTCTCCTTCTGCTCTGCCCTGAGTCACCTCTCCTTGGCTTTTGCCCCCCTTTCAAGTACCTCCTCAAAGGAGGTGGCTCTGCTCTTTTCTGATTTCGCTGCTGCTTTGAATATCCTTGTGCTCTTCAGAGACTTATCATCCAGTGGTTTCCTAACCAGTACTTTCTCCTGGCCTTTCGGGGTTCCTTCAGTGTCTCCTGCTCTAGATTCTGTCCTTTGAGGAGACCTGGTTGAGCTCATCCACAGCCAAACACAGCTCTCATCCCTTCTCTTGATAATGTTACTTAGGATCTGTGCTCACTTGCTGGCCTTTGCTTTTCATCCATCTTCCTCATCTCCAGGCCAGGCAGGTGAGTTCAGGTGCAACTGCCTCTGGAGAATACAGGGTGGGGAGGAGATTGCCATTGGTGCAGTCCAGCAGGCTGTGTCCTTGCACCACGGTCTGTCTCCAGACCTCTTCCAGACCATCCCAGACAGACAGAAACCCTACAGGACATGTCCTTGCCCACAGGGATAATTTATACTATTGCTCTACCATAATTTTTGTTCATGCCTTGAGCTAAGAAATCTCAAATTCTTTCCCAAGCTTTACTCTGACTGGATTTTCCTGTTCTTCCTGTACATGCTCTCTTCGTTGAACCACACAGAGTTACTGGCTGCTAAGAAATCCTGTGGCAGCACATTCCCTAAGCTGTTTTGCATTGTTCAGATGAAATATTTGGTGACTGCAGATGGTACAATTTCACCCTGATTTGCCTACAACAGCAGCTGAAGTACGGTTTGTAGTGGACCCTTGCCTCAACAAACTCCCATCAAGTCCACCAGATTTCAACCATGGCATTTGGGGTTAATTTGGAATTCAGAATGGATGCTGTGCATTGATTTCTGTGAGTGGGCAAATTTCTGAGGCAGCACTCATCTCTTTCAATAGGTGTGGTCTACCTGGACTTCAGTAAGGCCTTTGACACCGTCTCCCACAGCATTCTCCTAGAGAAGCATGATTCTATGATTCT